TCCAAGTTCCGTTGCGCAGAAGAGCATTAAACTCTTCTGCCATCGCGATTCTCCACATCGGATCTTTGAGCGCTTGCGATACACATGTTGGTTCTCTATCTCGGATGGTATCTAGGGTAGTTGAGAGGGTGAGTTTTGTTGTCGGTTTGGAGATGTTGTTTTTGGAGCGTGTGGTCATGGGGTGATTGTTTCGTGGTGGTTCGGTCGGTGGGATTGGCTCGATGGTGGCTGGTGTATGTATTGTGTCGGGAAAGATAGAGGGTGAGGTTGTTTCCGAGGAGGTCTCGCTTTGGATATGAGTGGTGGTCGGGTTCTGTGACGCAATAGGAGATAGGTCCGGTGGTGTGGGGTTTTGTAGAGGCGTCGGAGCCAACGTCGGAGGCAACACGGGCAGCGGCGGAGTGAGTGGTGACCGGTGGGGAACAATAGAAGATAGAGACGACGAAGGAAGGGAGGCATTTTCGGAAGTGGAATGAGATTCGGAGAGGAGTCGAGTATACGGAAAATCATTCTCGACAAATTCGACATGTCTAGAGACGTATAGACGAGAAGTGGGAACGTGAAGACATAGATATGCACTATGAGTAAGTGAATAACCAACAAAGACACAAGATGCAGAACGAGACTCAAGCTTGTGAGAAGAATAGGGACGAAGCCAAGGAAAGCAAAGGCAGCCGAATACTCGAAGTTTCGAGTAATTCGGCGCCGAATCAAAGAGTGACTCAAATGGAGAGCTGCGACCGAGAACAGTAGTTGGAAGACGGTTGATCAAATACACCGCCGTCGGAAAAGCAAACGTCCACAATTCCAAAGGAAGAGAAGCCCGAGTTAGAAGAGTTAAGCCCGTCTCAACAATATGTCGATGTTTTCTTTCCGAAACACCATTGTGTTCCGGAGTGTGGGGTGGAGAAGTGAGGTGTGAAATACCATGAGTGGAGATGAAGTCTCTAAGAGCAATATATTCTCCACCATTATCGGAAAACAGGGTGACAATTTTTGTTTGAAAGCGATTCTCCACAAGGGCTTTAAAACGCGTAAAAATGGAAGAGACTTGAGATTTATGACGCATGGGATAGAACCAAGTGTATCGGGTAAAATGATCCACGAAAATAACATAGTATTTGTAGTTATCAAAAGACATAATGGGCGAGGTCCAAACGTCGAAATATAGGAGTTCAAGAGGACGTGTGGACGTTAGTGTGGAAGTGAAAAACGGTAGCCTATGGCTTTTATTGATTGAACAGGACTTACAATACAATGGACAACTCGAAACATGCGACAAAGGAAGAGAAAACCGAGAAATTATGGAATTGAGAACCTCCCTGGATGGATGACCTAACCTAGAGTGCCAATCAAAGAGCGATGTCTTGACACTTGACAAGACAAGAGTCGACGACTTATTGACCGAGGAAAAGGAAGAAGTGAAAGCCGACTACTCATACACTCCGTTTTTAAGCGGTCTGGTTGCTAGCGTTGCCCCCGTGTTGAGATCCTTCACCTGAAAGTGACGAGAGAAAAATTCCACGGAAATATTGTTAAAGGCACATAATTGATGGATAGAAATAAGGTTCTTGTGAATAGAGGGAACATAAAGGACATTGTCAAGGTGAAGGGTGCGAGAAGTAGAGGGAAGAGACGAAGAACCGGTAAATGTAATCGCAAGGCCCGAGCCATCTCCGATAACAACTTCGTCACGACCATTGTACGGAGCATGAAGAGATAGGTTTCTTAGGTCGGATGTCACATGATGCGAGGCACCCGAATCCATGAGCCAAGTCGACGGTGGCATGGAGGAGATGGCGGGGGGATTGGCGCTGGGTTGCCATTGCGGAGGCGCAGTCGGAGGACTGTAGGCCGAGGAGTTATCACCGATAGAGGGCAGAAGTCGGCAGGTGCGAGCACTGTGTCTTTGTGTACCGCAGAGTTGGCACTTGCCAAGGTACGGACGTGGTGGCGGGCGTGAGTTCTGGCCTCGAGAATGAGAGAACGGGGGCCGAGGGTAAGATGCCGACGATCGGCTACCATGAGAACGCCACGGGGGACGAGAAACATGCTGGACATTGTGAGCCGAGATAGGTAGATCCGAGAGGCTCGAAGCGGCGAGGTCAACATCGTGACTCAGGAGCTTTTCATGAAGCTCAATAAAGGATATGGTCGTGTCCCGAGCATTAACCGCATCCTTTACCGGTTTGTATTCATCTCCGAGGCCACCGAGTATGAGATCTACGAGATCTTCGTGATCCAAAGGTTTTCCAAGAAGAGCTAACTCATCCGACTTAACTTTGAAGAAATTCATGTATTGGTCGATTGTTTTCGACCCTTTCGTATAGCGACGAAGTTGCTCCTTTAGTTGCTTGACGTGTCCGCGGCTGGAACGTCCGTAGGTTTGGGCGAGGGTCGCCCATGCAGCGGCTGCCGAGGAGGCGGTGGCGACGAGTGCCTGACATGGACCGGAGATTGATCCGAGTAGTGCAGAAAATACGAGGCGATCTTGCCTGAACCATGGAGCATGCTTGGGGTTCGGTGAAACCGTGTTGTTGCTGATGATTGTCGGCGATGGGGTTGTGGTGGAGTCGAGGAAATCACCAAGATTGTACCCGTCGAGGAGTGCTTGAATTTGAATGCTCCAAGTCAAGTAGTTGGATGCGGTAAGCTTGCTTACGTTGGAAACGTTGACGTTAATTAACGTCGCAGCAGGAGAATTAGCATCATAGGGAGTGACGTTGTCACTTGGAAGACCACCGGAATTGGTGGTGGTGTCGGTGTTCGACATGGTCAGCGGAGGCTAGAGAGTTTAGGGTTGCGGGGTTTTTAAAAAAAGTCTTTCGACTAATCCTTGCTCTGATACCATATAAGGTTTTCAGATCTTATAAAATTGAATGTATTCACGAAGAGTAATTACATGAAGTTATATACAGTGTTGAGAGGATGAATAATAGGGAAGTTACGTAACAACATACAATTTGAAAAGATTCTCCCGTGATTTATGTATATCGCTAACAGCAACCTCACCGTTTATTTTTAAATTAAAAAAAAAAACCTTGAAAACTTTGAGATGGACGGAAGGAAACTACGTGTGTCTCTTACGTAAACTTTTGGGCCAGGACCTAACTCTTCCCGGGCAAGAACATCAGCCCTTGTGAGAGCAGTTTGGACACACTTGAGTGCGAATGCTGCATTAGGATTCATTTCCTCGCTGACTAGCTGTCTCTGCGTTAGCATAAGAGCAAAACATAGGGTCGTGCTTCTTGGGAGTGGGATAGTTAAAAGGTAGGAATCTTTCAAGATGGCTATCAAAGATCGAAGTAAGATATGAGTGTCGCTTTAGCTGAACAGAACACATGAAAGAAGAAATTCTAAGAACAGCTTTTGGTGTTTGAAGTTTGAACGAAAAAGAAGAAAAGAGTATAAGTACTCCTGTAGGGCATCATAGCAAAGATAACGATTCCTGGGGATTGTTTGGATTTTATAGAGAGAGCATAATAACCACAATTGTTTTGAGCAAATCATACAAAATCCATCCGATGGGCCGTGGAGAATTTTGGAAAAGCCTATCCTATACGTTAAAAGAATCGGCCGATCACCAATCCGTTTTTGTCAAATTAGGGTGTTGTTCTTCACTCTAATGTGTTCTCTCTTTCACATGTCTGTGTTTACCTTTTTCCTTTTTTAAGAAAAACAATGAATCGATTTGCTATAACACAGCATTTTACTTGTACTATTCTACTCGAATCCCTTTATTATTTTGGCTTCCCTTCAAAACATGCCTCCTTTTGCTCTGAAAATATTATATATATTCACATTGTATGTATATCCCGTGGGATGTGTTTGTTTTGAAGAAAATCGGCCATGAAATCGGTTTTGGAGTTGTAAAACATGTCAACATTCATGTTTGAATGCATATTCAGTCATATCATGACCCATCATCTCACCGCCAACATTTTGCGGTATCCTTCATCTCGTTAAACAGCAAGACTGCTATATTTTTTTTTCGTATATATATGTATATTTATTTATAGCTAGCTAGTTCTTCTTCACCCCATAAGAAAATAAAATAGAATAAAAAGATAGAGAGGATCGAAGTTCAAAAGACAGTTTTGTGGAAATCGTATGTACACATGTGGTTAGATTCGTGGGCTATGTAGGGAGAGAGCAATTCATTATTCGTCGTGGGTGGGTGGGCTGTACGGCCTCCACACAGGATGTTAGAATTATGTGTGTGTGTGTCTGTAGTCATCTTTCGAGAATATAGACAAGAACCTTCACAGCTGCGGAAAATTGCTGCGGTCTAATTTGGAAATATATTCCCGATAGCTAGCGAAAGTTATTATTATTATTAGTACTACTGTAGTTATTATCGAACGTGTGTATGTATGTGTTACCGTCCATATTGCACGTAACGTTTCTGAACCAATTATCCCGTATTCACATGACATTTTTATGTCTGGTTCGATATTAGAAGATCTTATATATATATGTGTGTGTGTGTGATAGCGAATATATTTCATTCACCAACTCACTGCATAGATTACGTAATTTTGGATATTGTAATCATCTTTTTAAAATACAAAGGATCGATTGTTATATCTCATGATGTTGAGATATTAATATACATAGTCACCACATCACTTTGATTATATTTAGTTATTAAACAGGGGAAGATAAGAAAAACTAAATAAACAGAAAAAGGGGAGGGTGAAAAAAAATCAAAAATAGAGACAGTTAAAAAGTAAAAAGAAAGGCAAGGAGAAAATTAGGAGCATTACAGCTTCAAAACACAGTGATATAATAACAGCACCCAAAAACACACGGTTGTTCTGTTAATTAGTTCACTCCAAGAGGAAGCTGTCTTATTCTGTCACCATGTCCCTACCCTCGACAACTTGCAAGATAGTTCACTTCCACACCTATGCATACACTCTCTTCTTCTCCTTCACCTCTCTCTCTCTCTCTCTCTCTCTCTCTCTCTATCTATATATCTCCACATCCCTCTCTAATTACCAAACACAAAAACAAAAACAGAGACTCTCTCTCTCTCTCTCTTATTTCCTCCAATGGCGTCGGTTCCTCAGTTCTACGGCGATTTCACATTCACCAGCGAAACTCCTTCGCAGCATCTCCCCTCCCTTAATGGTTTAGAGGCTTACGGTTCTTTAGCATTTAACCCTCATGATGTCGTCTCCAGCAATACGACGTCATTTGACAATCTGTACGGCTACTTTCAGGCTGACGTGTCACCGACACCGGAGACCTTTTTCCCGGAAAGGTTGGGAATTCCCGACATGGCGCCGGAGTTCAACAACAACATCGGTGCTTTTGGCAGTTATGTGTGTGATTTTAATAATACACTATACTGTCATCAAATTAATGGAGAAGAATGCTACAGCCTTTCCCCGGAGCTCAAGCCGTTTTCCTCTCCAGCCCCCTCCCTTGATCAGTATTGGGTATGCACTTATGTATGTACATCATCCCAACGTACTGTCTATGTTTGGCGTATATACATACGTATGTACACAGCGAATATTGATGAAATTTAGACCTATTTCATATATTTACATATAGATATATATACAGTTTAAGGATGATCGTTGACATTAAGCAGGGTGCGGCAGGAGGAAGACAAATTCCAGCGACTGAAGAGACGAACACAAAGATCGGAAGATATTCAGTC